TCCTAACACAAAGTACAGGGGAGGATACGTGCACCTGTGCTGCTAAAAGTCATTTCTAAATGAGTCACAGGGATTTAAGATCCATAATTTTTGGCAAACAGGCATTAAATCCTCTTTACACAGAAAACAGTGGCAAGCAAGAGCCATTGTGCCCCCGGCCTCCCAGGCTCTGTTTTTGAACGTTTTTGGGGAGGGATTTGCAGTAATTTACTCCAAAGTTAATTTTTCCCCACTTATGGTAAAACATGTGAAAAGGTCAAGGATAATGAAAGAGCAGTGAATTTGAAATGCTCTGGATGAACAACTCAGCGCTTTTAGCAGCTCACTGAAACGGGGGAGGAGGAAAAGCAGCTCCTTCCAGGTTTGAGGGCTTTGCCAGCCTAATGAAGCATGCTGCCTCCTCAAACCCTAATTCCTGCAAGGACCGGGCTCATTGGTGGGATGGAGCAGCTCCTGCCCAGCCCCAGCTGAAGGGACACATCCCAAATGCTGAGCACCCCTCAAAGGCTGCCCCTCCACCCAGAACGACCCACCCTCCAATGAGGAAAAGGAAATGCTGGTTTATATTAAAAAGCCACAAAACAGAGGGAGGGGAGGCAGGCCCTGCCATCCCACCCTCAGCCACCCGCTGGAAAACCAGGCTGCTGCTGCTCCATCTCTGCCTGCAGGGCTGTTCTCACCCGGGGCTCACATTTAAGTGCCTGTCGTGGGGATTAATGGGACCAGCGTGCCTCTAATGGGGCTGGGTGGGGGACAGCTGATGGCTCTGCACGGAAATCACAGGGTGTCTGTGCCAGCTGTGCTGGGTTTGCTGAGAAATCCTAAACGGAGGGAGCAGATTTCCCCCTCTGGATACTGACTGGAATAGAGAGCATCCCTGCAGGCAGCTTGTGAGCTGGGAAACAAGAGCATGGGTGTTCCAGCCCCTGGCTGATGAGGGGAGCAGCGCTGTGCTGTCCCCTCCCTATCCTCGCTGCTGCAGAGGGGACATTTCTGCTGTCCCCGTGCTGGGCCGGGGACCTGGGGACACTTTGGGCTGGGCTGGTTGTCACTGCTGCTCCTGGAGGGTTCTGAGCTCCCTGTGGGAGAACCCAGCCCAGGTTTGCGCAGGGAGGAAGCCGAGGTGGCTGTCACACTGCTCCCATCCCCGGATGGCTGTGGGGTAAACGAGAGGGAGCCAGGATGGCTGTCACACTGCTCCCATCCCCAGATGCTGTGGGATAAACTGGAGAAACCCTGGGGATAACTCTAGGGGTGATGGTGGAGATCAGCACTGGGGCTGGTCTGCACCCCCTGAGCCCCCAGGCAGAGCCCCCAGCCCATCCCGGCCAAGGATAGGGCATCTGGAACTGCTCCTCCCCATCCCTTAATGCAGATTTTCACCCTGCCGCTGACAGGAATGCTCCCTCTGCCCTGAAATATGAATGACTGAGAGCTCAGCTTATGAGAGGTGGCAAATATGCTGATCTCTGCGTTTTTTAGCATGAGAATTTTCTAATAAGAAGGAGCCTGGGAGCCCTTCATGAATTAGGCATCAGGAGCCAGAGCAAACAGCGCTGAAGGTGCCCCAGCAAAGCCTTGCTCACACAGAGCTCCAAGAGGGGGATTTGCTGAGAATCCCTTCCCCAGCAGCCCCGGTGCCACTGCCTTGCCCTGGCTGTTTCCAGGGGGATTATGGACTTTCCTGGCTGCAGAGCAAATCCCTGCCCTGCCCCTGGAGCTCAGGGCGCAGCACAAACCAGGAGCCAGCCCCAGCACAGCACAGCCAGGGTCCCTGTTCCACCATGTCCCCCTTGCTCTTGGCCAAACCCAGGGCCAGCTCCTCCCTGCCCTGCCAGCACTCATCCCTTTGCTCCCATACTAAGGCAGAATGGAGAATTTGTAATTCCTGGTTTTAAATTCCCTTTTTTGCCAACATTTCCCCATTTCCCAGGTTCCTGTGTTGCCAGCTGCAGCAGGAGAGGCTGTTGGTTGGTGGTCCCATTTCCACAGCCCTGTGGGACTGGAAAACACCCAGACCCCTCACTCTGTCCCCCCTCAGAGGGATTTGGGTGTGTGGGGGCACATGGGAGAGGATGTGGCAGTTTGTGGTGGCACCTGCCAGCCCCACAGCCAGCCCTGCAGTGCTGCAGTGCCAGGCTCAACTCCATCCTCTCTCCACTCCTCCTCACACATGGCAGTTCATGCAAGGATTTTAAAACTACTGAAGATTCTTTTAAAAGAAATGCTTCCCCACCCTCCCCTTTTCTTTTTTTTTTCCTCCAGAGAACACCCCTCTCCATGGCAGCTGTGAAATACGGATTATTTACCTCCAGACTGGGCACAAGGCTGATCCAGCCTTAGAAGTAAATGCATATTTAGTCTTTAAGGCATATTTATCCATGTAAATACATATTTTGGTATACACATTCTTCATAACACAGTTCTGTGGGCTCTGTGGAGGTTTTGGTAGCAGAACATTTGCCATTGTCTATTTTGAACACTTGCTCAGAAAATGTGCAAAAAAAGCAGCTGTCACTGGGATGGGTTTAACACTCCTGGATCTCAAAAACAGCATCAACTCTAAAAAAAAACCTATTGAAAAGTTTAAAAAAAGCTGTCTGGCTCTGGAGGATCCTGCCAAGACACAAACCCTTGAGAAGCTGCGTTTGTTCAACTCTGAGTTGTGAGACACGCTCAGCTGAGTGTCAGCTCAGTGCCAGGGCCAGCAGCCGTGTGACAGTAGTGTCACAGTGTGGGGACAGCCCTGAGACACTGCACAGGGGCCCTCCCAGCCTGGGGGCTCCAGCAGCCTGCTGGAAATGCTCAGCTGAGCCTTTTTGTGTTGGGAAGGAAGGAATGCACAGAGCCAGCTTGGCTGGCAGACAGAGCAGGGAAGCACAGGACAAACCTTCCAACAGCTGCCCAAAGTGCCCCCAAAATGAGGGGCTGGAAGCAGCCCTGAGCACCCTACCATCCTCCCAGCCCCTGGAGTGGCTGTGCTCACTCTGCTGCCTCTTTGGGAGCACAGACCCCAGCCCAGCTCACCCCAGCCAGGTGTGTGCCCCTGAGCCCTCTGCTGCGGCTCCAGGCCTGCCCAAACCCTGCAGGGCCCCTCAGCCCCTCACACCCCCAGCATCTCCTGCCTCACAAACCCTGCAGGGCCCCTCAGCTCCCTGCCCCTCACAAACCCTGCAGGGCCCCTCACAAGCCTTCCTCACAAACTCTGCAGAGCTTTCAGCTCCCTGCCCCTCACACCCCCAGCACTCTCGGGCCTCACAAACCCTGCAGAGCCCACAAACCCTCAGGCCCCTCAGCCCCTCACAAACCCCACAGAGCCCCTCAGGCCCGGCCCCTCACAAACTTGCCTCACAAACCCTGCAGAGCCGTTCAGGCCCTCAGCCCCTCACACCCCCAGCATCTCCTGCCTCACAAACCACCCCTGGCACCCAGACACGGCTCCCAGTTCTGCTGCTGCTGCTCTGGGTTTGGGGGTTTCTTTATTTTTTTTTCTTTTTTTCTTTTCTGTTTGGGGTTTTCTCTTTTTTTCTTTTTTTCTTTTCTGTCCCCCCCAAGTGAAAATCAAATGTGGGACAGGACCTCCCGTCCGTGCCACCCAGTGGCTCTCCCTGGTGTGAATGCAAACATTCAACACTTCACGGAGTGTTCTCCTTTTCATGTTTAATCAAGCTGCTGCTCATTCTATTCTGTTGCTGGAAAGATCAGGTTCCAAATGTCAGGAATCACTGGAATGCAGGGTTTGATCCAGCCACAGCATAGAACCCTCTCCCAGTTTTACACACGTGGGTGGGGTTACCCATAGCCTCATTTCTCCCTTCAGAAAACTGCACTGACACAAGACTTCCTGCAGCACCACTGTTTCTATTGAATGGATTCTAAAATAGAGCACTTTAAAGCTGCAATACAAGAGACATGGGGGTATTAGGACTGATAAACTCATTTGAGGTGAGTTTGTACCCTTTCCTTGCAGAATGGGTTTGTTCATGTTATTCCAGGTTTTAAAAAACGCCACATTTCTGATAACAGCAACTGCTTGGCACACGGCTGTAAATCATAAGAGAAATAATGCAGCCTGTCACTGACCACATGCAGAGTGACCCAGGGTGTTTTATTGCCATCTGTTGGAGTGAACATCTCTGTTCTCTCAGCAGGGATAGCAGAGGCACGGCACCTCCTGGCTGTGCACTGGCCTGGGACAGCTCACACTGAGCCCAGCGAGCTCCCAGCCCTCCTTGCTGGAAAAATGGAGATTTTGGGACTGCTGAGTATTCCCAAGGCTGGGGCTTCTCACTGCCAGCACCTGTCATGAGCAGGAAAAGTGAGGAATTGGGCAATTCCAGCCACCTGCTGGAGCTCAAACTCAGAGCCTGGGAGTGATGATCACAGTGAAAGTGGTGCTGCCCGCCCAAGGCCAGGCTGGACGGGGCTAGGAGCAGGATGGGATAGTGGAGGTGTCCCTGGGATAGTGGAGATGTCCCTGTCCCTGGGATAGTGGAGATGTTCCTGTGCCTGTCCCTGGCAGATTTGGCATGGGACGGGCTCTGTCCCTCCCAGCCCAGCCCAGCATTCTGTGATAAGCATTTTGCTTTTCCTGCTGTCAGCAGTTGTTGGTGAGCAGGCCAGGAGCTCTTGGGGCCACCAGGGGATGTGGTGCCCAAGGGCTGCTGGCCACGGCCACCCCAGGGAGC